CTGCGGGGGAGAGAGACAGGCAGGTGAGAAAGGGAAGGAGGATACAGGTTACGGATGACTTCCCAAGCAGATTCAGCAAAGTCATGGCAACGAAGCTGAGATTACAAATTACGGAAAAGTAACGAACGGCTAAATGGCACCTTACCATTGCACCGATCGTTCAGCATTAGAGCCGAGAAATCATCAGTATGACTAATATGTGCAGTAGCATTGATAAGTTACCCAAACACAAACAATTTGCACGGAACATGCTTGTGCAGCACCCGCTCAGGTGGTACTGTGGTCGGGCTTGGTTGTTCTCAATCAGTCAAGGTTATGTGTGGGCGGGAGAGTTATGGTCTGGGGTGGTGTGCGCGGGCGGGTGTGCGGTGTCAACCTAGTAAGAGTCAATCCCCAATAATCACATAAATTTCAATGTATGGCTGTTTTGTGCGGTGGGAACGTGCTCGGCAGATGGCTGTGTGGCGTTCGAGTTGTGTAGCGTGTTGATTGTTGTGTGCGGGTGTGTGCTCCGGAGCGGTGTGGGGGCGGAGGGTGGGCTGGAGGGGGGTGGTGGGGTGCGGGGGGGTGCGGGGCAGGGAAGCTCGGCGGGGAGGGGTGGATGGGCCGTGAAGTTGTGCGTCGTCTCGTCGGTCTCTTTCGTCTCTCTGGGTGGGGGCATCGGCTGGTGTTCGTCCGTGCGTCCGTGGGCGGCGTCGTGGTGGCGGAGACATCTGATTGGGGGTCTGGGCGGGTGCGGGGGCCGCGCGGTGGCTTGCTCACTGTCATATGCGTCTGCGGGGCGGGTACTCGGTCGCTCGTCGGTCGGTCGTGTTCGCGTCTTGGGCCGCGAGCTGGGCTCGAGTGCATTGCGGTCTGCCGTGTGGTAGGTGTGTAGTGTGCGTGCGGGTGGGACGGCGGGAGTTGGTGCCATAGCGGGGAGTGGAGGCGTCAGGTACTGGCGTCCCGCACCCGCCCGCGTGAGCGCGTAGCGACTGGGACAGGCTTGTAGCTTTGAGTTATTGATGGGGAGAGGATGGGAGTAGCTTGGCTTGGCGAGGAGAAGGAGTTTTTGGGAGGCAGTTCTGAAAGTTACGGATCTTGCGCGAGAGGTGGAGGAGAATGGGGTGGGTGGGGAGGGTGTGGGCTGGAATGTTGGAGCGGGGCGGTGAAGGGTGCTGTGAGCGAGGGTGCAGGACGCGTGAGGGGGTGAGGGAGGGCGGAGGGCGCTTGAGAGCATACGGAAGAGGGGTGGAGCAGGCGCGTGGAGGTAGGCGCGTGGTAGAAATGGATAAGAGCGAGTAGCGCGGAAATGAAAGCAGAATTCACAAGAAATTGAACTGGTGATAAAGTCGAAACAATATAAAATTAAAATAAACTTATATCTTATAGTTTACAACCAATATTCATTTTTGATCAATAGCTAATAACAATAGTGAAAATTTATCAAATTTGTGCTTTATTACTGATCTATCTTTCACAAGCCCTCAGAAAAGATCTCCTTGGCATTTATCGCTACATCATACACAGGACACTCTCGCTCATCTGATTTACTTGTTCCCTGTATGTTGTATGTGTTAATGGATACTGGTTTCTAAACTTTATTTTCAGTTGTATATAAAAAACAAATCTCATGTTATGTCTTTTAAGATATTTGCTTTTGCAATCATCTTTTTGATCACCTTTTTCCTTCAATATTTTACCCATGGATCGCGTCTTACTTTCGGATAGGTCGTCGCGTTAGTTCGTGTTATTTTCATTACTGTTAACGGCACGTGCAAGCTTTGAATTTGGCTCTCGCCACAATGCTATTTTTGTCCTTTTCTAATAGCTTAGAACAAGCCAACAGTCATTACATTTTATAGAAGGGTGAAAACCAAAGCGTGCCCGCCCCACGGATCACTGCCTTCGTGACCTCCATTTTCTCTCATTGTGGGTGGTTTGCCCGTTGAACACATCCTTTGTTTATTACACCTATGGCCTTCCCTTCTTCCACTTAAATGGTCCCTTCCTGCCCATACCCCGTGCCCATAATCATATATATTTCACCACATCCCGTTGGCGAATCCCATTTTCTTAAAGGGGGGCCCAACAAAAAACGAGTTCCGTTTTCTACGTATCGGATTATCTAAAGGGGATACTAAAGGGAAACTAGATCGTATTCTGATGTACTAAACGTATATTACATTTAGTGAATATTAAAGATATGATAAATATTTTCAAATGCATCCACGTGTAAGTCTATGTACATCGAACGCTTTCTATATTTAATCTGGTTGTAAAAATCCTTGTTGCATAAAACGTATATTACATTCCGTAAATATGTAAAGATATAATTATTTTCAAATGCATTCACGTGTGTCTATGTACAGCGAACGCTGTCAATATTTAATCTAGTTGTGAAAATCCTTGTTGCATAAAAGCATTGCAACATAATGGATTCAACATAGATATTTTGGATAACGAGTCCCGCACGCACAGTAAACAATAACCATGGCCAATGGAGCGTTTCTAATCACATGCCTTAAGACTAGAAACTCTTGTCTTAGTCATTAGGACTGGGTAATACTATATCGCTAATTTATACTTTTGCTTATAACACATATTTAAGTAAAAGCCATTCATTTGACTCTTTATGAGTTTTTTTTTATATCGTTAATTCTTTAGTTTTGGTTTATGTCAGCATATAGATATTCTTTCTTTTTATTTGTTTTCTTCCTTTTTCCTCTCCTTTTTTTGCTTCGTTATCCAAGGGAGAGGCGGACACGACTGACCTCAGCAGGACACGGAGAATCTCGTTAACCTCGTTTTGCGCGTGGGATATACGTGTTCCTTTCGTATGCCACCTACGCTGTCTCTCTGGGTTTGGCACCTTTTCTCTAACTCTGACTGTCTGTTTGTCTCTTTATTTCTGTCTACCTGTCTGTTAATCTCTTTATTTCTACCTGTATATTAATCTCTATTTCTGTCTACCTGTCTGTTAATCTCTATTTCTTTACTGTCATATGTTCTGTTAGTCTATCTACCCCTCTATTTTCTACATCTCTTCTCTGTCTCTCTCTCTCTCTCTCTCTCTCTCTCTCTCTCTCTCTCTCTCTCTCTCTCTCTCTCTCTCTCTCTCTCTCTCTCTCTCTCTCTCTCTATTTATGGATCGATTAATTTGTTTCATTGTATCGTCTTTTCTGCCCTTCGTGTTTCTCGGAACACTAATTGGTAATGAAGTAGCAAAAGCTTAAACGAAGAAAATTAACGGAAAGGTGGCGCTTAAAAAATTATAGTATTTATAGCTTAGAGACTCCAGGTAGGATTTATTACTGTCGAATAGCATGTTTCTTTTTTTTAGGTCTTTCCCGCTGTTTTAATGCCTATGGTTTGCAAGGAACACCCTTCATCCCGCTCGCGCCCAAGTCTTAAGGGTGTGGTGCCTTTTTTTCCGTTTCTTTTTGGGCTGCGGCACGCACCGATCTCGTGCCCGCGTGTAAGGTCATGGTACTTCAGTCTCCTTTCGCGTGACGCTGGGTAAGAAAGGGCGTGGCTCCCTCTGCTCTAATGGGGGAATGGCGTTCGCGAAGTTCTCACACCGATAGGCTGCTGTTAGTACTCGGTACTCTATTTGAAAGGGCCGTTAATGAATGTTTTTTTGGGTGCTGGCAACTCCGGTCGCGATGTTTGGCGTGCGGAACCCTGAGAATTTATTCAGTAATATTTTTCCTTATTTTCTTTCTGTCTTATTTTGCTAATGTCTCCTACTGTTTTTATTTTATGGCTCTTTCTATTTTATTTATTCGTTTTCACGTATTCTGAGGCAATCTAAACAACTTCTACCATCATTTTTGTATGTTGTCCTAGTTCAGACGATTGCCAGATATCTTTAGATCATCTTTCAGCATCCTTGCAACTTCTTTCTGCGCGCTTGCAAGTGCACGTGCATCCTTCACCTCCGTTCCGCCCTTCTTCTTCGGCCATTCCTAGGCCACCCTTTTTTTCCTTGCCAATTATCTTTGTATTATTCTTTCTATTTGTTGACGCTCTTTCCTCTACAGACAGACACACACAATATATATATGTGTGCGTGTGTGTATGGGCGTGCGTGTTGTGTGTGTGAGTGTGTGTGTGTGTGGTGTGTGTGTGTGTGTGTGTGTGTGTGTGTGTGTGTGTGTGTGTGTGTGTGTGTGTGTGTGTGTGTGTGTGTGCATGTCGAGTAGCGCAAGCCTTCGTAAGTTTGATGTTTTGTTGATAAATTAATTTCCTCTGTATGAAAATTAATAAGAATTCCTGAATGCCACACGTCGGCAAACGCGGTCATGAGCCACACGTGCGAAAGAAAACGAGAGTGGTAGCTCGGTGAGTCAGGATCTTTTGAACCAAATACGCCAAGAAGCAGGATCTCCTCCCTCCCCCGCCCCCCTCTTCCCTCCTCCTCCTCCCTGCCACACCATGTGCGTCACAGGGTTCCTGCACGACCTTCCTCTCCCTTGTTTTTTTGCACCGGTCGCCGCCCTGTCCCTCCTTCCCTCCCTCTGGTTTTATCTCCGCGCCGCCACTCTCACTCTCCGTTTGGGAGTTCTTGTTCATATGCCACGCGGATGCCCTTCCTGGAAATATAACTTAGAAAGTAAATAATCATAGAAACGTAAAAGAAGAAGGAGAGAGAGAGAGAGAGAGAGAGAGAGAGAGAGAGAGAGAGGAGAGAGAGAGAGAGAGAGAGAGAGAGAGAGAGAGAGAGAGAGAGAGAGAGAGGAGAGAGAGAGATAATATCGTCGTGTGGGTTATTTAACGATTTAGTTTAGTATCCCTCTTTCGATTTTTTTTCTCTTCGCTCCCACGCATAGAAAACGGGAATCGCCCTCGCGCTCCTTCCGCGACCAGGAAATAAAATAATAAAATGAGTGAATCAAACCTGTCTGACAGCTTCTCTGTGTGAACACCGGTGCTGACCTCTCGCCTCACTTTCGCTCTCACTGGGTCACTTGTAAAGCCGGGTCAGGCAGTGCCTTGAGACCTGGATATTATCTTGCGGA